TTTGTTTTTATAAAAACAAATGCGGTTTGAGTCTGAGATGATCTGTTCTGTAAAACACGTTTGTAGAGATTAAAATGAAGACAAACAAGCACGAGAAAGTTTTGTATAAAGTAAGTTTGATTGTTTTTATTTATTTATTTTTACCTTTGCGCTGCGACGTTCGCGTCCACCACTCCAACATTACGCACCCAGGACCGGACCGGATCCATCTCCTCTCCAAGGTTCCTCTCTTTTATTCCACTCACTTCTCGAATCAGCTGCTCCTGAATCCCGAACATTTAAAGTCCTGTCGTGGTGGTTCGAAGTTTTCCCTCTTTGTTTTTGTTTTTCTTTAGATATAACCTCGCGATGAGAAAAGAAGAACCTAAATCACTTGAGTCTCCAGCAGAAGGTCCAGTTCAGCTGCGCTCCTCCGGAGCTTCAGCGGAGCTTTGAAGGAGAAACAACTGATGCTGTGAGGTTTTATTAGAAAATAAGAGTCTCGGTGGGAATCCACGTTGACTGGTTCTTAAAATTCAAACGATAATTTTGGATCTATTTCTCCGCAGATTGCAAACATGGTCCAGGCGCACGTGTCCTCAGTCCCAGCTGATCATCTCATCGGTGTCTTCAGCTCCAAAAAAGCGACGCTCGACCTGGATTTATTCTCTAAAACTTCCCTGAGCAGAGAAAGTCTCCCTGGCTCGGATCAGAACTGTGGATCCTGGGTGGCTGGACCAGGAGTCTTGGAGTGAACCGCTGTCCTGAAGCATGAATGAGACTCTCAGTCCGGATGGAGCGTGGAGGAGGGGCCAAGAGCCATATGGGGGACCGATTGTTGAAATGGATGCTCTCATTGGTGTAAAGTGCCTCCGCTGTTTGGAACCCTGCCAGGTTCAGCATCCAACCAGTGAGGCTCAGAGAACTTTTTACACCCAACTTGGACCAGGTAGGATCATTTTTAACATTTGGAGTTCATTAAAAAGATTTTCTTTGTGTGTTTTGTGCACGAGGATGCTGGCAGGTATTCAGCTCAGAATCATGAAAAGTGTAGAAAAGTGCATGGAAATGTTTGCAGGTTGAACTTTTTTTTTTTACTCTTGTTATTTCAGCAGCTCGGCATGGTGGACCTCTGTAACTTGGCCCAGCTGTTCATTCAAAGTCGGGTTTCACCAGAGGTGAGCGCCTGGTCACGCGCGCCCCTCTGAGCTCACTCAGGACGCATCGCATCAGTGTCAGTCCGAACAATGACCGTCTGGCTGCTCCAGCAGCCTCCAGCAGCAGCAGCCAGAGCTGCGCTCTGATTGGTCGGCTGTCCTTGTCTGACGGAAACCCCCAAATGAGTTCTTAATCAGCACCGGAGACCAGATCCTGACACCCTGAGTCATGAAACGAGTCAGACTTGACCTGCTCTGTTCTCTCATCATTTACGCATGCAATGATGTTTTATACAGACTTCATTTTTTTATGTGATGTTTATTTATTTTAGCTGAATGAGTTTAATTTGTCTGTTGAAAAAAACTCATATTTTAGGGACATTTTGGGGAGTAAAATTAATTTCCGCTCCCATTCGTCCACGAAAAGAAGTTTCTTCCTCTCTTTTCATTTTCTCAGGACTATTGTCTCTGTGTTGAATTTGTGCGCCTGGACAATGAATGTAAATCCACCCACCCACCGCCCCCCTCCCGCGATCCCGCCTCAACCCACCATCTGCCAGCGCGGGACAAAGTCAGATGTTCCCCCAATTATGAGCGCAGTCTCGGGGAATCCTGCGGCCGAGCCCCCGCCCTGTCGCCTTGTCCACATCCACTAACATGACTGACAGCTGGACCGAACCCCCCAACAAACCAGGAGAAAACCTGCACAAGTGGACACTTTGCTTCAATTCCTTTGCTTTCTGTGCAAAGAGATGTTCAATAAAGAGCTGCGGACAGTTGGTTGAAGAAAAACTGCAGAAAATGAGCGATTCTTCAAAATAAGAGGAGCCTAATTCATTTGGAGATTAATACTGTGTGGAAAAACAAATGATCTTGAAAAGCTACACTCTATAAAGTTTAGGAGTTTTGTTTGTTTGGTTATAAATTTAATGTTGTGAGTTTTCTTATAGCTTCTGTTGTGTTAAGATCTATTTGCCTCGTTGAATAAAGATTTTGTACTTAAAGCCAACGTAAACTACTTTTAATCAACTTTAGGCTGTTTTAGGAGACAAGAATAATCATTACGTAGAGGCATAAAACCTAACGATTACCCTGAACAATATGAAACGATGCGCTTTGAAAGAGTTTACTCCAGAAGTCTTTTTTTAATGGATTTGAAATTAAGAATTGTGGGTACTCACTCAATGTAAACAAAGCACTCAGCTGAATTAGGCTGGTTTTTGTCTAAACAAATGTTCAGGTGGAAAAATCCTGGTGAACAGGAAAGAAAAGAGAGATAAACAAAAGGATGTGACACGTGGCATTTCACAAATTTGGCTTGCAAGTTTTTTTTTTCATTTAAGCATTGACCATTAACGTGCTGGTTTAATGATGTTTTGATTGGTGCAGGACATTAAGCAACAGTAGAACCAGTAGAGAATGTATTTTCAGTTTATAAGTCTTATTAAATGAAACATGTTTTAAAAGAGGAATGATGTAACTGCAGGCTTTGTGAGTGTTTATTTAAAATAAAGTTTATTAAGCTCATTAAAGAGCCTCTTGTTCTACAGCTTGACTTAATGTGTTGTTGTTTTTTTCTAAACGTCTGAACATCAAGGCGCATTTTATTGGATAGATTGTGAAATAAATCTGTTTTGTGTTTGAGTCAGTGCTGAGCGATGGGGTGGTGGGGGGTCTGTCCTCTCCTCCAGCTGGAGGTGTCCCCGATGCTCCTCAACTTTCACTTTCAGTGTTTTGTTTCAGATGTGCTGAAGCGGAGAGACGGACTGAAAAGTGGGGGATTAGTCCAGTCTTTCTAATCAGTTTAACCCGCTCAGGCGGTCAGCCCGCGTGCGTTTTTTTTTTTTTTTTTTTTTTTTTTGTCTTGGGGAGTGTGTGCGTGGGGTGTCAGGAGGGGGGTGAGGGTGAGGCTGGAGGTGTGGAGGGGATCAGTGACTGCTAAACTAAACAATGGGGTATCGTGTGCCGCTCGTCCTCTCCAGCATTCCCTGACTCCCATGGGACGAGCAGAGCCACTTTGTGTGGATGGCACTGCGGCCACGGAGGTCAGGAGGGGCGTGGCGTGTGTGTGCGCGCGTGCGCCCCGTCTGTGTGTGTGTGTGTGTGTGTGTGTGTGTGTGTGTGTGTGTGTGTGTGTGTGTGTGTGTG